CACCCAAATGTTTGTCGCTCGCTCCCTGCTCGGCCCAGGCTTTCGGGCTTCCTCGCTGCCGTTCCTTCGTATCCACATGCCTGGAAGGCCAGCGTTCATCAGCCAACCTGGTGGAGGCTCCTCCATCCGTTATGTCACCTCCTGCCAGAGCCTTCCCTGGGAACCCCTCAGTCTGCCAACTGGCTGCTCCTCCTCCTCTCTCACCAGGGTTTGTTGTTCTTAGTACTGGTGGTCATTTTGCTCTAACCCCTCTATGCATCTCCAAGACATAGGGGGAAATATGTTGGCTGATGATAGGTGCGTCTTACTGCTATTTACGGGATCCCAGTGGCCAAGTCAAACCAATCCGTGTGTGCCGTTCATTAACTATGCATATTTCCTGTGTGCAGTCTTGTGAGCATAGAAAAATGCGGACAGGAACACACTGTCATGGTTGGCACTGGGCAATGTGATTGTGACATTCATAATTTGTCGTCTACCCTGGAGCTGCTCTTTCCTGAGGAAAAAGATTGAGGTTTCATTAAGATTTGCTTACATCAGCTTTGGTTGTTTTTTTTAACGTGGACTCCCTTAGTCTTCAGGCAACTTGATGTTAATTTCTCCGTTTTCTCGGAGTGCTACTTTTAAACACAGGTCCAGAATGCTACAGAACTCATTTTCCTTTGCTTAAATATTAATGCGGTAGCTGCAGCTCTGCCAGGGTCTGCGTTGTGTTGTGTTAATGAGCTCAGTAGACTTGCTACTGCACATACGTTATCTTCATCTTGCTACCGGATTTGGGGCATTGGGCATATTTTCTCCGTGTGGATGGTAATATATTATTTCATGGTTGTGTGGATGGCAGAACTCCGAGATAGCGCATGTCTCTGTGAGCAAGTTATCCCCTCAGTCTGCACTATCTTGATAGATTCTTCCTCCCCAATCGTCCTTCCGCAGGCGGTTGGCTTGCTTCCATCGCCCTTGGCTTATCTCCCCTTGGTCTCTGGCTCCCTTTCAGCATTTGGCTGCTTCCGCAGCAGGATAGCCTGCTGCGTGCTTCCTCCCAGCGGGAGACCAGAGCCTGCAGAGCGAGAACTAGGCCAAGGAGGGCTCCTCCTCCTCCCCCTCCTCCCTCTCCTTCCCCCCCACCCCCCCACTCATCCCGGGAGTTCCCCTTATGGAACCGGAGCGGCAGCGCCCTCTGCTCCGGCAGCATCAAAGTGCTGAACAGATTAGTCAGCGCCACGGCTCGGCAGCAAATGGCAGTTTCTCAGGAAGGTGCTGCTCTGGACTTTCCTCTATTCCCCACCTAACAATTGTGTTTACTCACGTGTCGCTGATTTGTGCCATCCAGCGTGGCCGGTTGAGGGGTGGGAGGAGAACAGGGCCATTTCAACTAAAAAGGGCCCTCTGTGTTTTCTGAATGCTATAGAATTCAAAGGAAATTCTCATAATTTTTCGGTTCTGATACACCTTTTTCCCCCCAGTCAGGAATTTTAATCCAAACGTGTAAGTATAAATTTAAATCTTAGAACTCATCGAGTAATATATTGTATTAAAAGCCTCCAGCTAACTACTGGAAAATGAAGCAGTGTGAAATATTTTGATTTCAACATCAATATCTGACAATACATATTTTAAATCTGATTCATTTTTTCACTCGCTGTCAATCTGGTTTAATCTCCCTGTTGTGAGTTCCATTTTTAGATCTCTCGAAGCTGGTCTTTTTTGTTCCGCGAATCTAGTTTTCTGCTTGTCTCGTGCTGCCCTCTGGTGCCTACTTCTTGAATTACACTCCGTGGCTTTTTGCCTCAGGAAAACTAAAACCCAACCAGGATCCAACAACGTGCAAAGTGTATGCAATTGCAGTTGGCTTCTTTCTGTTTATTATCTTTTCATTAGTGAAGATCTCCAAAGGACCAGAGATGATATTATTCTGCAGAGTCACTGGGATAGAAATTTTAAACCTAAGGGAGGCTTCAGGGAAGCACATCTCATATTAACTAGCTGGCTAGTGGCCTGTCCTGCTTGGGCTGGATAGAGGGGGTGTAGATCCCAGAGGAATTTCGTCCAATAGTTGGAGACGTTTCTTATGGCTTCTCCGTGCTTCCTCTCTGGTAGCCGGTCTTACTGCGAGGCACCCCAAGCTTCGTTTCTTGCTCTCAGGTTGAAGTCAGAATCGCTTCTGTGGAGTCAAGTGTAAACTTATCCCCGCAATCAAAAAGCCAAATGACTCATAGGGACCCTCTCCGGCAGAGCTAAACTGCTTCCTAGGCTTTCCGTGGCTGTTAATCTTTACGGAAGCAAACTGCCTCCTCTTTCACTCAAAGAGCTGCTGGTGGGTTCAAACCGCCAACATTTCAGTGTGCACACCGAACCCGCTGCCCCCCAGGCCTTCTTCCCTATTCCTCCCTCAGCGACTTGTGTTAAGAGATGGAGGAAGGGAGGGCGAGTCAACTGTCAGCGATGTTTGATCCCATCAGTGCTCCTGGGACACACTGTTAGTGTTTGGGAATGGGCCAATGGAAGCAGAGTCACAGCTACAGGGGACCGGAGGGTGATTTCCCATGTAATATTCCTAGCTAGTGCTTCTGTGGGGGTGGGCAAGGAAGCAGAAAGTACATTGATTCAGCATTTACTACGCATGTGTGGTAGTTGTACAATCTGTTGTCAGTTTGAGAGGATTAAGAGTGAAGGGGTGGAGTTTAGCCGTCAATCAGGTCACAGCCTGATGACCTCATTTGGAGGTGCTAAGGAGATAAGTAGCTCACTGGAGGCGGGACACATGCTCACTCCCTGCGAGACATTTCTGCTGAGAAGACACATGGAGCTGTGCTAGAGCTCTGGAGCTGGAGGAGCCACTTGGAGACGCCTGCCAACAGTGAGATGATTCTACTGCCACTGGATCCACAAGACTTTCCAGCCACTGGCCTGTGATCTTCCTGCATTCAAAGTCATTGCATGTGTTGCATGAGTCTGAAGAGGAATTTATAGATTGGTATTGGACATATGGGCTAATATCGGCTTATCACTTGATCTGGACTGGACTGGGGTGTTTTCTCAATATTCAAGTGCTCTTGTATGTAAAGCTCTTTCTTATACACATATGAGCGTCTATGAATTTGTTTCTCTCGTCTACCTGGACTCCCCCAGTGAGCGAGATGCTGCTGTTCTGCAGACATTGTCATGGCTTGAGTTGCATGATTCAAGCCATTTGTCATCTTGAAATATTCCAGGACGTTCATGCTGAGTATTGTGGCTGCCAAGTTATTCTTCTTACATAACATTAAAACCAACAATAACAGTTACAAGGCATGTATGTAAGACATTCCTTTGAATACACAGCCAGATTGCAGAAGGCTAGGGATGACAGTGAAACCCCCCAATCCACGTGCATCATCCCGGAGCAGATTACGCCTCCACTGAGTTTCCTCAGACCATTGTCTCGGGATGGGCAGAGGCTTGTCTGCTTACAGAGTGTGTTGGCAAGTGGATTAAGGCAGGTATATTAGGTTCAAATTCAACATCCTATTTTTTGTTTTCCCCTTTGACTTAGCTTTAATTGCTTCTCATTTATATTCATTTCAGTTCCTTTTGGATTGAGGCTCTTCTGACTTTACTTTGTTTTAATTGTTGGTTCCCGTCCCCACCCCCTGTGGTTTATGACGTTATGTGAAACATAGCAGAGGTGATTCGAGAGAGACAGCACTTAGAGGGAGAGTGACTTAGGGTTCTGGCAGGGAGGCTGGGGAGAAATGAGGAGCTAATAATAATGAGGACAAGAATGACAGTGGCAATGATCTCACCACTCCTTTTTAATATATTAGACTTGCATTGTGTGGAACATGAATTATATGTCAATAAAATGATTGATAAATGATTCGATAAGAACCTTGGGAGAGGGGGCACCACCACCTTTATGTTAATGAAGAAGGTCCAGCTCAGAACAGGAGTGAGACCTGGGGACACCCCATGGGACCCATGTATCCCCCTCCCTAACGTGTACATGTAGAAACTGCTCAGGTGGTGTGTGCCTTGCAGTGTAGCGTCTCCACAACAACCACCACACATGGAATTTTAAGGAAACGATCAATAACCGAGGAGAAACAAGAGGAGGTAAGGCCCCAAATGCTTATTGAACCACAGGTGTCTTTCCTTAAAGTCATCAACTATGTTTGGATGAGTTACAAAATACCCTAAAGGTCTTTCATGCTTTAAAAACTACCATTTGGGGACAAGGAATAATGCTCGGATCACATTCTACCATGTCTGCCATGCTTTCTGCGGAGGGAAGCATGATTTTATACATTGTCTCAAGGGGTCACCACAGCTTCTCTGGCAAGAAGAGACACAGGAAGGCTAAGCAGTTCACGTTGCTACAGAGCTGGTTAGTGACAGAACCAGGCCCACATCCCAATCCCAAGATGTTTCCATTTGGGATTTGTTCTCACTGTATGTTTGTCCCTGCTTCTCTGTCTGAGAGAGTTAAGGTTTATTGTGCCAACCTGGCCAATAAACACATGTGGGATTAATTGAAGAGTGGAGAGAGAAATGGCTTGGTGAGCTTTGTCTTTTGAGTTCTTGCTTTGTGATGGTCTGACCAGGGTGCAGCTGCCTTAGCCAGTTCCTTGCTTCAGCTGGCAAGGCTCATTTCCTGTGAGACATCCCTGAGGAGAAGCTGCATGGACCTAACCCGATGCAGCCCTTGGTGCTGGAGCAGCCATGTGGAGACTCCTGCCAGTGCTGAGATGCTTACACGGCTTTCCTCCTGCAGTCGGCATCATTGCGTGTGTTTTGTGAGATGGAAGAGGACTTGTAGATCCGTGTCAGACATATGAGCTAATGTTGGACTTATGGGCTTAGACAGCAATGGGTTGGGATACTTTCTTAATGTACACTTACCTTTTATGTAAAAGTCTCTCTTATACATATGAGTTTCTGTGGATTTATTTCCGTAGTTGACCCGGACCAACACACTATCTCTCCAACCCCCTGCCCTGAACTTCTTCATGCTGACATACCTGTTCATGAGACCATGTCCTTTCCGAACCGTCCTTGACACAGATGTCCAGCCTCAGCTCAGTTCCTGTAGCACCATGCTTGCTGTCCACACACAGATTTGCTGCTACATTTCGAATCTGTGGGGACAAATGTTAAGCATGGGATTGCTTTTGGTTTTTTTCACCCCTAGTTCTTGACAATTCTGGTATCAATTAGGCAATAGAGCAATTCCTTTTACATGACTATGGTATGATGTATTGAATTTGTACACAAACTACAGAGAAGCAGCAGGAAATAAAAATAACACCATCCGGTTTCCCACCTTTCTGTTGTTTTTCTGCACTCGGGTGGCTGGCAGGCGGCTGGAAGCTATGCCACCAGTATTTCCAATACCAGCAGGGTCACCCATGGTGGCCAAGTTCAAGTGCCACTTCCAGACAAATGCATGTAAGGAAGAAAGGCCTGGCAATCTACTCCAAAATTAATCCATGCAAGTCTGATGGGGCACAAGAAAACACTGCCTAATGTGGTGCGGCGAGTTGAAACCAATGACCATGGACATGACACAGGACCGGGCAATGTTTCATTCTGTTATGGAGAAGGTCATCATGAATCCCAGCTGACTCACGACTAATCCTAGTTGACAACAACTAACACCAGCATACTGAGTCTACATGTGAAAGAACGAGAGAGGAATTAAGTAGCACCACTACACTCGGTTGTAGCAAAGGAATGTGTGATCATGCAGCCTAGGGAGTAGCAAAGAGCTGTGACTCTTTTCTTTCCGAGAGTTAACTTGGGATCTGCTGTCTGTCTGCTTCACAGCATCTTCAGCCATGCTCACTTTATCGGGATGCACGATTCAGCAGGAGGCGGGTGATGCTGGAGAAGTATGGGATGGGGTGAATCCATATTGCCTAGTATTGTGTGAACAGGGCAAGCTTCCATCCTGCTTGTCTGGCATGATCTTGGTCTATACCTGGGTTCTTGGTTAAGCCTGTCTCCTGGATCATAAAGTAGATATTCCAGTCCAAGCACATTACCATTGCCATTGTGTCGGGTTCTGAGTCATAAAGCCCATTTACAGAGTGCCTGTGGCTTTGTAAAACTTTATGGGAGAAGACAGCCTTATCTTTTCCCATTGGAGAGGTTGGTGGGTTTGAACCGCCGATCTTAGGTTAGGAGTCCAACCTGCAGTTCCACCAGGGCTCCTAAATGTCACGTACAAAACAGGAAGAGCAGTACACTTGTCATAATATTATATAACAGAAAGATTCTCTACTTAAAGCTTGAACTTTGGATAATTGTATATAGAGAAGACACCTTATAATTCACTACAGTTATTACACTAGCTTTGATATGCTAAAAGATACTGAATAGTTAGGGTGGGAAATGAGTCGACTATAAAAAGAGTTTCAGAAACTAAAACAGAAGCAAATAGGGACGGAGATGCCCCCTCTTGTTAGGTAAGGAATTCACTAATTCTCTTGAGACAAGCATATCATGTGAAAGAGTTGTAATTTGTTACTTAGGTGTGAATGCTTACATAAGGACACACATATATCCTTTAGTGAATTATATATCACAGTGCATTATTTTTCTGATTTTATATGGCCCTGGATTGTGGTACAAGTAGTCCCTTATTTATGAGGAGTTACAATGGACAGCACTCGACTGGCCCTTTGTCCTGTACATCTACTCTTCGTGATCGGTACCCTATACCTGGTGCAGTGCAGACATTACTGATGTTATCACCCTCAGCCCTTCCCTCCCAGGTGCTTAGTGTTCTCATTTACTGATCAAAATGCTGGTGTATCGCAGGCTCTGACCTGGTCTATGAGGGAGTCTTTGTTAGTGGGGTGCAGAGAGTTGTAAGGACTGGAAAATCGAGCCCTGCCAACTGCAAAGACATACAACAATTGAACTCAGCACACGTTTGACAGTTGTTACAGTTTCAACTTCGTTGTTCTGACATTGACGCCAACAAAAAGAGATCAACGTCTAAAGATACTGGTAATGAAAGGCAAGCATGACGGAAAAGAAAACAACAACAACAGCAGCAAAAGAGGGACTGGACCTATGTAAGAACTGAACCAAGTGATGACGGAATCATCAGATTGGAGTCCCTATCATCCCAGGTGCTACCGCTCATCCCTGGAGGGACTGTTAAGGATAGAAAGAACTGATGACAAGGCACTATATGTGACCTCCTCCCTGGGGGACAGACAACAGAAGGGTGGGAGGGGGAGACGTCAGACAGGGCAAGATATGACAAAATAATAATTTATAAATTATCAAGGGCTCATGAGGAAGGGGGGATGGGGAGAGGGAGAGGAAAAGATGAGGACCTGGTGCCGGGGGCTTAGGTGGAGAGCAGGTGTTTTGAGAATGATGGGGGCAATGAAGGTACGGATGTGCTTTACACAGTTGATGTGTGTATGGATTGTGATAGGAGTCGTATGAGCCCCTAATAAAATGATTTAAAAAAAAGAAGAAGAAGGTGGATCTGACTGGCAATTTGAGTCAAGGATCCTTTGCCTGGAATGGATATTTAGGGTGATCCATGCCTCCTCGCTAGAAGAAGGCCTGTTTTGGGCCTTTAAAATAAACATTGGGTTGAGGCAAAGAGAAGGCTTTCATGAAGTATATCAGGTATAGGGGTCCCTGAGTGGTACAAATGGTTCATACCTTCAGCTACTAACCAAAAGGTTAGTGGTTTGAGTCCACCCAGAGGTGCGTTGAAGAAGGTCTCCTGATCTCCTACTGAAAAGGCAGTGATTGAGAATCCTCTTGTGTTTACTTGTACTCTAGTGCTCAGGGCCCTTGGCACTGGTCGGAATCCACATGATCATAACTGCTTACTTGATCATGCAAGGAACGGATGACCTGGGATAGGGACGATGGTGACGGAAGGACCTGTTTCTAGTTTATCTTCTTTAGGGATAGAGGTTGATGTAACGCCATCCAACAGAGAATCACTGCTGTAGGGACCTGTTTTCTTATTAAGGGAATTTGGCAACAGTTTGGGATCATTTCTTTTCATTTTTTTTTTCAGAATTTGAGGAAGATTTATTAACAATCTGTGATATGAAGATGACAGAACTTTGCAAAATGCCAAGATAATTTGAAGCATTTATTGATAAAATCAAACACTACAGCCTTCAGGATGGAATAAATATGAAAAAAATGATCAGTACTGGACTTGTAGACAACATCATAAACATCAGAGAAGAAAGTGAAGTTAACAAGGGTCTTATTTTACATGTAACCACTATCAATGCTCATGGAAGCCACAGCCATGAAATCAAAGGATGTATCATATAGGGCACATCTGCTGCACAAGACCTCTTTGCAGTATTTTAAAAAAATTATTTTATTGGGGGCTCATACAATTCTCACCACAATCCATACATCCATCCATTCTGTCAAGCACATATGCACATTTGTTGCCCTCATCATTCTCAAAACATTTGCCTCCCACTCTAGCGTTTGGGATCATTTCTGATACTGGATCTCTGCTGTCACGATTTCAGTCTCTGGTGATAGGAGAATGTGGAATGGCATAGAATGTGGGAACCGTTTTTAACTCGGTTGGCTGACAGACCTCTCTGTAAATCCAAGGAAAGCTATGGGCTGATTGTAAAAGCAAGCAGGAACCGAACGAAACCACAGTGAATATAGCATTGTATTCATTTGCCTGGATCTCATAGACTCCAGGTTAGGGAAACTCCTTGTCTCTATCTCTTGCAAACCACTTTCATCCCTCCCCTTAGCAGTTTGGAACAATCTTGAAAAACCCGCAGTGAATTTGTCAGCTATCAGAGGGCATTCTAAGTAAAGCTCTCCCGGTTCACTCTCATCTAGATATTTACAATTTCTCCAGCTACCCTAAAACAAAGTACCAGAGAGGAGTTTCACTCTGGAATTTAGGAAGCCAGGTAGAAAATGTCTTTTAGGAAATGAATTCCTTGATGTGTGCTAGAGTATTTCTGGTGAAATGGAAACAATGTGCGAGTTAAAGTTAGATTTTGCTCCCTGCCTTGAGCCTGGCACCTGCTGTACAGCTGCGATTTCATCTTCTCCTTCGAGTGCAGTGTGTCGATGCTCTACAGCTGTCTATCACCCGAGAGGCGCCTGACACACGCGGGGGAGGGCTTTCTTTTCATTTTGAGGCCATTTAACTCACAGCTCCATGCTTGTTAGAGAATAAGTGCCAACTTATAACCAAGACATTTTCAGGGCGCCGTGGAGCCTCTCTCGAAGCCTAGGAGCTCTGACCCACACTTAGAGATGAACAGGAAGCTGCTTCCAGGCTGGGAGGAGTCCCTGCGCAGGGCAGGATGGAAGCCTGGTGGTGCTGTCCGGTTAGCAATGGACTTTTACAAGAGCTTATTTTAGTAGGCTTAATTATTATTATTTTTAAGTAGGCTTAATTTTTTCATACAAATTAGATTTACAAGAAAACTTGACAATACAGAGTTCCTATGGGCCCCACCACCTTTTCCTTCAAATCATCTCACCGTAGTGTCTCTTTGTTACCATCCAGCAGCCATATCAATATGATCCAAACCCCCCACTACCATCTACAATGGCCTTCTCAACCTTCCTCATGCTGCCACCCTGGAATACAGTTCCTCATGTGGTGGTGACCCCCAACCATAGCATTATTTTCATTGCTACTTCATCACTGTCATTTTGCTACTGTTATGAGTCGTCATGGAAATATCTGATAGGCAGGATGTATTTTCATGGTTACAAATTGAACATCATTAAAGCATAGTGATGAGTCACAAAAACAATAAGTAATTCTATATTGTGATATATTGATTTCTAATGACAAAGTAATGAAATTTTGTCTTGAAGCATGGTGTAACATGGGTAACAGTCTTCACGCTGGGTACTCGTATGTGGGTATATCTGCATGTGGGTGGACCAGCCTGGGGAGATGGATAGAGGAGTGGCGTCTCAGTTCATAAGACCATCAAAAACCACATTTTTCCAATGGTCTTAGGCGACCCCTGTGAAAGGGTCGTTGGACCCGCAAAGGGGTCGCGACCCACAGGTTGAGAACCACTGATGTAGTGGATTTTGCCATGGATGCCTGATTGGAGTACGTATTTTGTTTGGATCTCCTTAG